GCATGCTGCTGTTAAGCGATTTGCAGAGGTGGCCCGAGCTGGCTGCTCTCACCAAAGAAAATGGAAGTGGTGAGGGAGGAGCCACTCAGCAGGAGCAGCTGATGAAGCTGTTGCTGAAAGCGTTCGGAACATACGGCGCTATCGCCTCTGTCAGAGTCCTGAAGCTGGGGAAGGACCTGCCGGCAGACCTGAAGAGGTTGAGCGGTCGCTACTCTCAGCTCGGCACTGAGGAGTGTGCCATTGTGGAGTTCGAGGAGGTGGAGGCTGCTGTTAAAGCCAATGAAGCTGTAGGGGGCGAGGACGGAGGGGCCAGTTCACTGGGGCTGAGAGTGGTCCTGATTGGCACCAAGCCGCCTAAAAAGAAGGTCCCGAAAGAACGACCCCGTGAGGAAGGAGGGATGCGCAAAAGCCGCTCTCTCAACAGCAGAGTACGAGAGCTTCAGTATCACGGGGACGACTCGGCCTGCAGCTCCTCAGAGACTGAAAGCACCCCAACGTCACCCAGGCTGGCCAGGAAGTCCCAATCATGCAACAAGCTCAGCCCCACCACTGCAGGCATCGCCTTCCAGAACAATCACCTGAGTCCTGGTATGTCTCCCCGTAACAGCCCCTGGTCCAGCCCCCGTGCCAGCCCTTGTCCTCAGCGCAAATCTCCCCACTCCCACAAGTCTCCTTTAGCCAGTGAGGGCAGACTGAGCCCTGAGCCCGGACGTCGGTGGGCAGACTACTCCTCAGACAGCAGCCTCACCCCCTCAGGGAGCCCGTGGGTTCAGAGGCGCAAGCAGGTGGCGTCTCAGGAGAGCAGTCCGGTCGGCAGCCCCATGCTAGGTAGAAAGATCCAGAATGCAGACGGCCTGCCGCCAGGGGTAATGAGGCTGCCAAGGGGTCCCGATGGAACTCGTGGCTTTCACTGTGTCGTTGTAGGTGAGAGGGGAAAGACTGCAGCCACTCAGACTTGAAATGTGGAGCATCCTTATGCATCCCCTGTCCCGCCGAAATAAAGTGATATATTGGAAATTTGAGCTGTTGTTGGCCGTGTTGCTCAGCCCCCGCCCCACGTTTGAGACTGTGTAGATATATTTTTGTTGAGTGCATCAGTTTTCAGTCTTTGTTATATTTTTATACGGCATTTTGAGTTACCATGGTAACATTAGTGATTTACTAATGGAAATTTGAGTGAATGTAAATTGATATTGCTTTGAGAGGGAACTATACATCTGCCACTGAAATGGACCATGTCACCTCCATTGCATCTGTTGAATTTGGGGCGAGCTGGAAAAGAAATTCCACCTTTTATTTTTTTTCTTTTCTTTTTTTAAAAAAACAATTTAACAGTGTCCTCTGTCTTGTGTGTGTAAAAGCTCGCAACATTGTCTGTGGATGGTGTATAAGTGTGTCAGTGGTGTAAGTGGCATAGGCACATGGGCTTGATAGAGATATCACCATATGCCTTTTCTGTATTTGTCTACCGTGAGTTCCATTTTTACATACGATTTAAACTGAGGCCATATTTGCTCCACTGCCATAAGGGTTGGACAGCTCATCTTGGACATTACATTTTGTTTTAGTTTTTATTTTGCCTTTTTTAATTTCATCATTTTTCTCTTGTAGCCCTGTAAATGTCGAGCAGGTAACTGCTTTATTTATTTTTTTAGCTTTTTATTTGTTCTTGGTTTCCATCAGTCTAAGCTCACAATGAGGTTTGAGGGATGTTCAGGTCAGGCAGAATAGATGCTCTTATGTTCTTGCCTTTACATCTGAGCTGGGGTATTTGTACACTGCAAGTCCTATTGTACAAATAAATCACTAAAATTGCAATTGGCCTGACTTCTTCTCTTTGTTTGTGACACGTTTTGAGTTGGTCATAATATTCTGAAGCAACCATGATCCAGTGTTATTTTTTTTCATTTCAATATGTAGCAGGATTAAGTGAGATGCTGTTACTGTGCCAGGAGTGTAGAAGCGATCTCCGACTTGGAAAGCAGAGTTGGCACATTGGCATGCTTTAAAATGAATTGCACAGATGGGAAGATGATAACACTGTTGATGGATTACAAGAAATATCAACCCTTTTTGAGGAAAAATAAATTTGACAAAAATATGGAGTAGAGCGTTGCACAAGCAGTTATTGTATCGTCGAAAGAGCAGTGTCGGTGTGCACGTGGTCCAGGTTGAATTCACATATATAGCACACATAACTGGTTGCATAAGTGTCCACCTATTCAATATGTAGCAGAGACACATTTCAGACAGAAAACAAAGCTCTGAGTCTATATATGTGAAGTGGACTGTCAGCTTTGCACATCTCCATTCATCCACGGTCCAAGCTCTGTCAGGTTGCATGGCGACTGTGAGCGAAGGACAAGTTAGAAATCTTACCACGAACTCTCGATCGGATCGAGATTTGGATTCTGAATTGGACTATTGGACGGCATTGTTGTGGTTTTGAGGATATTTCTGTCTAAATTTGGCTTTGTGATTGGGGTTGCTGTCTTGCTGAAAAATAAATCATCTTCCACAGTCCTCTTGCAGACTGCAGCAGGTTTTTCTCCAGGATTTGTCCGTATTTTGCTGCATTTATGTAAGCCTCTCCTTTGACAAACCTTCCAGGGCCTGCTGCAGAGAAGCCTGCCCACAGCATAAAACAGTTTAAGCTTCTGGATGGCTCCTCTTATTTGAAAAGATGTTTTACCACCGAATGTTCAGTGAAAATGACTAACAAGCAGTATTTCACATACAGGTGTATGTACCTGAAAATCATTTGTCACTCCATGATTAAAAAAACAGCAAAAGTAAAGGGGGTTCATACTTACGCAATCAGTGATTTTGTGCTTTATATTTATCCATGTAAAATTATTTCAGTGCTTTGTTTTCGCTTTGACACTCAATGGTTCTCTCTAACAATCAGTGAATAAAATCATTACTCCATTGTTTTTCATTGTTGTGCTGCAAAATGAAAAAGCACAAGGGTGGTGAACACTTCATATAGACGAATGTAATTTGTGCCATGTCCTCCGGTGGTTAAAAAAAAAAAAAAAAGCTCCTTAGCAACAGTCCAAATGTGAGAGAAGAGAACACACAGTTGGATGCCCATAGAGCCATCGGACTTTTAAAATCATGTCGTTGCAGCATTCTGTTTATCCACTTTTTGTTAGATATGCTATCTCCCGTAGGAGGGATTTTTAATAGGAGGACACAATCTGTTAGGCTGTGTCGGATACAGAGGGTCAGAGCCGGCTCTCCAGAATTCAGAGATGTAAAGGGACTAAGTGGAATTGCGTAAGAGGGGGATGAATAAACTTTTGTTCTCCTCTTTGCATGATTAGCAACTCGAAATCAGGAAGTCGTGATGGCTTCTGTTTTTGACAAGCAGTGTTATTTCTCAACTCCCTTTGACTGAATGACTGTTTAGGAAAAGTGTCACAAAATTAAAGTATTATTCTCATAAGATGAAGTTCTCTGTAATTACAATTAGTGATAGTTCCATACTCGCAGCAAATGGGAATATCATAAAGGGAGATAAGAGCAAAACCAAATAGCACTCTGGCTATTATTTGTAATTGGGCAGCGGGCATTGATGTATGAATACAAAGTTGTTAAGTGCAGTAATTTAGCTATTTACTCCAGACTGGATTTTCGACAGAAATAATTAGTAAGAGGAGGCGATGAGATTACATCTGTTAAATAATAAGACTTCAAAGCTTCCCACTGTTGTAGAAGTGACTTGGTGTCATGTCATTGTGAATCAGACAGGACTCTACTAAATTACTCTCACATCATTATGATACAATGTGTGACTAGTGGCTTTAAAATCATGAACCATATAACCATTTATGCATATTCATATGCATTTACACCAATAACTGCTTTCAATGCTCGACCCGCTGACTGATAACAAACCCATTAATGTCTGCACATTAACAACACGGTACGAAGCAGACGAACTGAGGTCATGCTGGACAGTCAGTAATTATGAGGTTCTTGTGGATGCAGAATTACAAAGGCCTTTGTTAGTGTTTAAATTACAGGTCTCCAAATGGTTACAAAAAAAAAAAAACATAAGTCTCCTCCTTAACTCAGAGAACATGACAAACACTTGCATCAGTCTGTGGGAGGGAGCCGGAGTGGCTGTGAGGGGGGTGGAGTCAGATTTGAGGAACAAGAATTAGGGTGGAGTAAATATACAACTGTCTCAGCAACGCAGCAAATCAGAACAGTCGACACAAAGACCGAGAACTTGCAAGAAAGGAAATGATTTTTTTTCCTCCTGATATTTGTCTTTTAACCCTATTGTGTAACGTCAGTGCATAGGTGTCTATACAAACTGTGGAATTAAATAGTGCTGACGTACAAAACTTGGCAGAGTCGAAGTAACTGTCACAACTTGATAAAGATGTTGACTGCCGTCTTTGCAAATCAGTGCCTTGGGCCCTTCAACAGCATTAGATTAGGAATGGAGTGCTCCTCGGCTACTATGTTGCCCTCCTGACCTCCTCCTTCTGTCACACGTCTGTGGGTAACATCAGCTTCTGGCACCACTCGCAGTGTTTAATGTGAGAAAAAGCACAGACATCTGTGAAAATGACCTCAGCTAATAATAGAGCTCCGAATTCCAATCACAGGCTGCAGAGAGAACAGCATTCAAGTAGAATGCCCGTCTCATTTTCTTTAGAAATTAAGTATCTGTCCTGGTCAGATTCTGGATATTGATATGACACAGTGGAAGAAGACCGTCTCTGTAAGGTGTCAATGGAGCATCTAAAAGAGCACATATAGTTTTGGTCCAGGATGTGTGTTGAAATGAACAAAAGAAAGGCCACATTGGTCATTTCATTGTTGCTGATATGGATGTTAAAAAATATATCTCAGCTATGTTAGTGCTACACTGTTTGCCTTTTCTTTTAAAACCCCCTCGTGTGACTATAAACCCTGACCATATTATACACCAGGTCAGTGTGCCTACATTAAAGTCAACAATAGACCATCAATAAATAAAAACATTTAGACATGTTTTTGTGTATTCACTGACAATTTGTTAGCAGTGTTGAGTACAATTAGATGAACATATATATATTTCACTATTTTAAAAAAAAATCATTTACAGTGTCTCAACTGAGAAAAAACACAAACAAAAAAAATACCAAGAAAACATATTTACAGAAATTGTGCTGTCTCGAGCGAACATCTTACAGTGTCAGTACAGTGATACTGAGGAAGATTACCAGTTGAATGGAGAGGATATCTCCAGCATCTCCAGCAAGGGAAACCACAAGTAGCTGCAGGTTTCTAGTGCAACACATTTGAAGAGTTTCAGTATTTATCATGAACAGACATACACTGTTAGAGACTGTTTTCTGCGCATTTCCCAAAAATCATGCAGCAGTAAGCGATGACAGCTATACCAGTTGCTGTTTGAGACTACAGTAACTCTTATTTATTTATGCAACATATGAACTTTAAAAATGAACTTTCACTTTCTAACATTTGATATGCGCTTCAGAAGGCCATGGCATCATTTAGTTTGCCCAGAGGGCGATGCTATTACAGTTGTGGGCTGCACTGCTGACTCAATGTAGGAAAAAAAAATAAAGTACATGCAAAATAACCGTTGGAATTATCCACATAAACAATGACCTGTTGGAAATAAAAACACCTTAACACATTCCATTCTCCATATTCATGCTTTCAGGACATAAATGTTACCTTCCAATTTGTCTTTTGCGTGTGGTGGCACTATAAAAAGCTCTGTAGCCATGGTTACTATTTGACCCTCATTGATGCAGTTACCTTGTAATAAGGGAGGAGCAATATGCAGCTCCAAGGTGACATGATGTTTGTGAAAGCACTGCTCCACAGGATACCAAAGGTATCTATCAGCACAACAGCGCCTAACCACCAGTTTAGTCAAACCAACTAGACAGACATAATTATCGGCTCGTCATCCACCTGCACAGCTCCATCTGCAGAATCTCAGCAGGAGACAGACGCACAATGATTAGGATTGATCTGATGGTTGTGTGGGTAGAGTCATCGTTGGTGTGATGAGGAAAACACTTCCTGCCTGTTAGCAGATGGGATGCAGACGTGTTGCGCAGCGAGTTTGGGCAGGCAAACGTGCTAAGAACACAGTATCTCAAATCTTCAATCTGAGTGAAGCGGTGAGAAGCAGAAGAGGGCACAAACCAGCCATGTCTCCAGAGCTTTGCTTCAGATGTAGAGAGAACCGTCAGCAGGTCCCACATAACCAATCCCTATCAGAAGAACATCTATTAAAGTCCAAATGCCCAGGCCTCCAAAGCTGAAGAGTTTGCCCAGACCCTCTCTCCACTGGCCCAGATAAAACCGATCTGCCCCAAAACCTCCAAGTGTAATGCTACAGAAAGAAAGAGCAGGAAAGAGTAAGGCATGATATCAGAGCGCACATCCTGTTAGAGTGTTTCAATCCTCTAGTGACTGTGGTGATACCAGTTACAAGTTTACCTGAGGGCTAATGCGGTTGACCATTTGTATCCACCAGTCCAGTTACAGAATAAACGTTTTTGAAAACGTCTTTTACCTACAAGGAAGAAAAAAGAACACAGTGTGGACATCGTACAGTGATTGTGATATACATTTCCTAAACAAATAAACAAAACTGAAAAATAAAACTAATTAGCATGACTGAAAAAGCATTTCCATTGACAAATTTAGGAACTATGTAGAACAAAAGAAAACCATAATTAATGAGATTTTTTGTGAAATATCATGTTGTTTGTTTTCATTTGGGTTCCCACATTCTGTAACAACGTCCATGAGGAGAGCAGGGAGCACGTGAACTAAATCCTTCAACACGAGATATTTTATCATATCTGCTATATGGGGGTATTACTGTAGCAACACTATTTGTAAATGTGTAGTGAGATTTGTAAAAGATTCATTGATGTGTTAAAAGACAGATGAAAAGTCTAAGGATTTGGCTACAAGTGCTGGAAATACAGACAAATCACCAGTTACAAGTCAAGTGGGCCTCACTATTGGCTGTCTTTTTGCACTTGACTTTTGCTACAATTCTGCCGTAAGAGATTCACATCTGAGGCTTCAGGGTTTTCTTTGCCCTGAGCTCAGGCTCACAGACTCGTTCATTCTTTACCTCAGTACTTATGCCGTACTTCCAGCACTTGTAGCCAAATACTTAGATTTTTCATCTATCTTTTTACACATCGATGAATCTTCTACAAATCTTTCTACACATTTACAAATAGTTTTGCTACAATAATACCCCCATACTGCTAACTTAAAAGTTTCCTTTCAGACTATTTGGCTGCCAAGATAAATGTGACATGGTTGAATACATTAAATCTAATTATTGATATTATTTGTCTGATTTACACCTGGCAGACCAAGCGTGTGACATTACCATGCTTGAAATGTAAACATCTTCTGACTACTAAAAACAGTAAAGACTGTAATCACTCTGCACTGTGGTATTACTGGTTATGCATACATGCTGTTTTTAGATGTGTATCACCACAAGAAAATGCTGTCACTGCTATATTCTTCCGTACATGTGTGTACATACATAGGAAACTTAATGGGTATTTTTTTCCAGCCTTATTCCTTATGCAGTTGGCAAAATGGCGTCCCAGGTTACTACTTTCTGTTTACTTTCAGTGTGACTCAAAAACAAACATGTAATATCATTCATGTAAAAATAGCATCGCTACAAGGAGCTTCTCCCTTCGACAACTGTGAGTGTCTTGGACTTAGTTATTCCACAGAAGGCTACTAAACAGGCTTTACAGCAGAACCTTTATCATACCTAAACAATGTACATGGTCTAACACGTCACAGGTGGCGTTGTAGCGCTTGCGTGGGCAGGAGACTGTCATACAGTTGGTGGAGTTTGAGCAGCGGTACTGGGATGGATCCAGCTGCCAGCAGAACTGACAGGTGATGGACAGCGAGAAGTTGGTTTGCTGTTGCCCCGACTCTCCCTGCAAACACACAAGAGAAAAGAAAAAACACTATGCAGTAATTCCGAAATTAACGCCCCAATCATCCTTTTAACAACTGTTTTACCAAGCCACAAACTTTGTATAATAAAGTACAAATCTCACTCAGCCTTTACACGACACAGATTTATCACAAGATGAAATGCTACTTACTATACAGTGAACCCCTTTTTTGGGTTTACAGTTGAAGGAAGCTGGTTTGCCGTAGGTACAGTTGTGCTGGTAACTGCACTGTATGCAATCAGCTGGCAGGCGATTACACAAACCTCCACTGGGACACTTGGAAGTGTAGCTCTCTTCATCTGCAGGAGACACTGCAAAACATCCAACAGAGTTACAGAGTTAATGTAACATAACAAAACTTTGATGTAAGTTAATTTTACAACCTTATGTGTGGGATCATTATTGGTAAGCCAACAGGCTAATGATTGCATCCTTTTGAATCTCTCGTCAAACTGGGACAACACAGCTGTGGGAGGTAAATGACTACCACTCTGCCCTCAAAGACGGGAGACCTTCAAAGACTCATTGAGCAAAGCCATTTCTTCCTGATTGCTCCATTATGTGTGCCCGCCGGACAGCAAAAGCAAACTGTTCCTCTCTGTTGAAAAATAATTAACTCTACAAAGTCAACACAACACAATGGCAAGATTTTCTTTCATGATATACATGATAAAAATGGAAAAACTAATTTTGAGTTAAATCGTTAAATATACACAGAAAATGTACTTGAAAGTTCATCAGTCCTCTCTGAAACAGCCATTGTTTCTTTGATCTTGCTTGTGTGATATAATCCAGACAAATCAGGTTTAAGCTTTCCCTGTATTTTATTACAGATATTTGATAGCAAAAAATGTATTATTCATCCATTATCTCTCCATCCATTATCTATACACTGCTTCATCCTCACTAGAGTCGTGGGGGGGCTGGAGCCTATCCCAGCTGACTTAGGGTGAAGGCAGGGGACACCCTGGACAGGTCACCAGTCTATCACAAGGCTACACTTAGAGACAGACAGCCAAGCACACTCACATTCACACCTTCAGACAATTTAGAATCACCAATTAACCTCAGCATGTTTTTTGGACTGTGAGAGGAAGGCAGAGAACCCGGAGAGAACCCACACTGCACAGGGAGAACATGCAAACTCCATGCAGAATGTGTGGAGTTTGCATGAGGAGTTTGCGTATGTGGAATGCTTTTTGTAGATGCAGCATGGGTGGCAGTCTGATGTAAATTTCCTACAATGTGAGACAATAAAGCGAATCTTGAATCTTTGCCTTGCAACTTCTTTTGGGCATTTTGGAATCTGGTCCACATCATTTAAGGATACAACACTAGATTTTAGGGCACTGTAATTCCAAACGAATATGCCTCTTCCAATTCTTTTCCCAAACAATTAAATGAATAACGATAATCACATTATTTAATGACAAAAGCAATCAATAGTCACATGTTATCTTTGTATGATCAGTGCTGACTTCTGACTGCAGGGTTTACCTGAGGCTGCGGCAGGGACCACCGGGCTGGTGATGACAGGTCCATGTTGGGCATCTCTGGTGTAGGGAGGCTCCTGGCCAACATGAGGAGAACTCAGGTACCCTGACAAGCAAACAGACAACGAAGATAATACACAACCTGAGTCCGAGTCAGCCTTCTGTCGTGACCAGATTTAAATAAATCACATATTGTGCTCTGTGAAAATACTTTTAACCAACAATGTTTACGTTTACTCAATTCACGTGATACGAGAAAGTCAATATTTTATCAATGGACATAAATTAGAAGTCTAGTACAGGTGGCAGTAATTAAAAACACAGGGCTTTATTTAAATGACAAATCTAAGCTCCAGCTTTTAAATAACTTTAGCGAGCTGCTCCACTGAGGCGTCAGCTAGCTAACAACACTTCCTCTACATTAGCACAAACACTTAACTGTTAGTTGTCATATAGGCTACTGAAAATTAATTACCACACAACTACCCGAGGATGCTTGGCGTGTCTTAAAAGCAATTGTTCAATCAGCGTTCCTCACTGCATGCCATGTTTTCATTGCTAACTAGATATGTTAACGTTTGAGTTAGCTTGTTAGCTAGACATGCAATGCTAACTCAGTGGGACAAAGCTAACGTTAGCCGACAGCGAAAAATAACCTTAGTGTAAGTTGGCCTTCCACATAGGCTATACTATAACAGTCCCTGCAAACATACCGTTGACACACTGTAAGACTAGGTCCAGGAACAATACGACAATAATCCCGTAGCTTTTAAAGCAGCGTCCTCTGTCCGGTCTCCATATCTGACAGTTAGTAGCCATTGTTGCTGCAAAATGACGCTGCATTCAAGGCATGTGGGAAAAACCAGCGTTCCCGAGCCTTTTGGAGGACGGGAAAGGAAAAGTGGTCGTGAACGCATATGACCCTGAATCTTTTCATAAGGTAGTGGGACTTCAACTCAAGGGAGAGATGAGACGGAAACGTTTTTTTTGTACTAATAAAAGGTTATTAGTTTCCATTTTCCCAACAAATACATCCAAGTAGGCAACGTGACTATGCGGCCTTTAGCTTATCACACCAACCATACATTATATCCTGAAAACATATACTGTATAAATATGATTGAACACTTGTGAAGCAATTTAAGTCTTATATCAACAGTTTCTTTTTGTACACTATTCTGTAGATGGCACCGATGCAGTCCTCCTGCTGGTACCAGAGGATTCATGTAGAAAGCAGCCATGGGAGGAATACATTTCGCAGCCTGACACTAAGGAGATATTCCTTAATGTCAGGCTGTGAAATATATTCCTGATCTGATCTGCCATTACATGTTCATTGAGCATGTGCTGTATATTGCTCAATAGTTATAAAATGAGCTGGAATGTCTGTCATGTCAACTTTTAACCTGCACACATCACTGAAAATTGCTCAACATCATGCTTTTGCTTAGAAGTGACTAAACTAATGAGGCAGAAAAACTCCTGGAATGCTGCATGTCACAATTACAATTTATCATGACATCTCAGCTACAAAAAAAACAAAAACAAGCTTTGACTTGCTCTGTTGTGAAAGTATAAAAAAAAAAAGACTGGCACTTTCACATTTGGCAGATTTCTTTTATTTCCAAGATTTCCCACTGAGGCAGACCTTTGTCTGGCTCACATTCAACTTTCACTATAACAATGATCACCGCGTTTCCTTCAATTACCAAGTAGCTTCAGATAGATCACCCTGACATTATGCCCATTTGATCCACATACAACATTGTTTCTGCCCTTCACAAATGATCACCTGGGCATTTCACAGTTCTTAGCTAGCTCCATTCATTACATTACCTTACGAAATATCAGTTCATCTGTTACTCTGACAGCACTTTCCCATTACCCTCATTATACGTGCCATCATTTGTCCCCTTACTGCTCATCAGACTGTACTCCTAAGACTGAGGTATTGAAATGCGAGACTCGGCTTTGTTCTCTGTCTTCTCAGAAGTCCTCCTCTGCGTTTCGACAGCGGGACTGTTTGAGCAGGGTCAGGCGTGCCATCACCTCGGACACCGACAGTTCTCCGTGGATTTTGTTGTCCCTCGTGCGCACATTGACGCTGTTAGTCATCTTCTCCTTCTCTCCGACCACTGCCAAGACACAAGAAGACAACAGCTTGACTTCAGCCAAGAAACAACACACACACACACACACAGCTACCCTAACATAGTACCCACTCCGTGCCACTGAATTCAACAATTGTGGTTGGTGAGCCACCTTCAAGATCCATTTGCCTTATATGAAACAGTTAGGGTTTATCTGACTCGCCAGCATTCTCGTGGTGGATCTACTGACAGCAGTGCAGTGAAATGAACCACACCAGTTTAACCAGTTTCAGCCACTTTACGACAAACATTTTACACTTTACCTTCCAGCAAGTGGTTTTTAAAATAGACTCAATTATCATGGGATTAACCTTTTAAATGTACAGCGGTGCACAAAAGTGTCAGGCACATTTGATGTTCTTATTCATTATGCAAATTGTCCAAATTTGTGCCTCAACATGAGAAAAAGCTCAAACAAACGGCAAGACTTACAAAGAACTATCTTTCCTGCCAAGAAGAACAAGAAGTCCTGCAGCAGATGGTGTGGCCTCCACAGAGCCCCGATGTCAACATCATGGAGTAAGTTAAAGATTACATGAAGAGACAGAAGCTACTGAGACCTCCTAAATCCACAGAAGAGCTGTGGCAAGTTCTCCAAGATGCTTGGAACAAACTGCCTGCCAAGTAGCTTGAAAACTGTTTGCAAGAGTACCAAGAAAACCTGATACTGTACGAGAGGGTATCATTTTTGAAAGCATTCTCAGTTTCATTTTAGTGTTTAAAACTTTGGCACGTAAATGTGATTTAACTTAGGCTGGTACATTTTCTCACCAAGAATGAAGTTATACTGGGCCAGCTGAGCATTTCGGATTTTCTTGTTCAGAAGACAGCTGGAGTCCAGGTCGGCATCTGCTATAAATCCAGCTTCCGTAAACTGTTTACACACCTGAAAGATAGCAATTCATAGTATAATATTGTTTCGCAATCTTCGTAGACTTGAAAAGTTTCACATGATTGTATTAAAATGTGATCAAGATGTGTAAGGTATACCCTCTTGGCGTAATCCTCACAGGAGGGGTTGACAGGCACTAACATCACCTGGCGTGGAGAGAGCCACAGAGGCCTGTTGGAGGACAGACAGGCAATAATCATCTTCATATAGTTGCATGAAGATATAAACATTAATGTCTGTGTTTCTCCCCAACAAAAAAAAAAACTTATTTACACAGAAGGGGGGAGATGTTAAAATGCCAGAAAGTGGAGAGATGTTACTACAGTCGATTGTTTGGCATTCAAACAAATTGGCATGTCATTCACAACCATCCTAAAACCGGATATTAGCACAAAAACAACCAGAATAATGACAAAGACCATCTGATGTATCACACATAAGACAGGTCAAAACAGTGGGCCATATTCAGCATCATACATTGTGAGTAATTTGTGATTTGAACTGACACTATCAAATGATAGAGCAGCCAGAAAGCTCCTCACCATTTCCCGGCATAGTTCTCTGTGAGAATGGCAATCATCCTTTCCACTGAGCCCAAGATGGCACGATGGATGATGACTGGTCGGCCTTTGTCATCCCCATCTTTTCTGTCATCACAGCAGGGGGAAAAAAAAGGAAAAGGGAAATGACATCTTGCTGTAGCTGCAAGTAAGCAAAGCTTTTTGACAACTTTCACTTCAATTAAAATCATATTTGTATAACACAGTTTCATACAAAAGTGCTTTAATTAAAAATACAGTAAAAATGTTTTACTATTAACACTACATTCATTCCAGTACCTGTATCTATCAAGTAGCCCAAAATGTATTTGTTTGCCCCTTAATCACTATCAACCTTTGTCAGTCCTCCCTTTTCTATTGACAACACCGGGCCAACTGAACTAATGCACAATCTGGAAATACTATGGCTGATGTACAGCCTGCTGTTTATTGACGTATAGATTGTTTTCCCATGCTGGGTTTATTAATTGAACGTTCTGATGAGACAATAACCACCACCTGCTCATTGAGTTCAAATTTGCATACAACTCTTCACCTCTTAAACAACACGACTCCATAGAGCACAGTGTGCAAGCTGAGACATCTTATCCAGCAGGGGCTTAACATATAATCCTTGGTGCGGTAAAGCATACAGACTCAGCACTGTGCCAATGTTTTGATTAGTTGACTCACCCCACAAAGGTCAGATTGAAGCGAATAGGCAGCTGGAAGTCCAGCTGAATGGTTGCACACTGGTGGTAACGTCCAATTGCATCTTTAATCTTAATGTCAATCTGCAATGGCAAACAGTTAATTACAATCATTTCCATATCTCAAAGACTCATGCTGATCATACGGTTGTTAGGAGAAAAAAGAAAAATCAAAAAATGTTCTAACCTTGGGTCCATAAAAAGCACCGTCTCCAGGGTTGAGTTTCCATGGCTCCCCGAACTCATTCAGGCTGTTTTCCAGTTGCTGTCAAACATGAGGCACGGGTTAACATGTAATTTGAATCTGAAAAGTGAAAGGCAATTACTGTGAAGCAGACCAAGTCTTGGTGAAGTGCATAATCAAGTATAGAAGAGGTTTTTCCAGCCGTCCTCTGCACTGCTTAATGCAATTTTATTTTTTTATGTGCATTTCAAGTGTTCTTATGCAACTTCTAACTAGACAAACGTAACAGAAAAATCAGGTCAAACAAATGAGTAGTTTTGTTTTACTGACCACACACCACCCACAGAAATCCAAAGGACTTCACAGTGACTCACTGATCTGATACTACAGTATGATCACATGACAGAGAACCAGTTCTTTCATCCACATCCATCAGTGTCAACATGAGCATTTATCTGCTGAAATCTACGGTGTGTCAAAGGCCCTGCAGCGTCTTGCACTCACAATACAAAATCAGAAAATTCAGAGAGCAACCAGAGTTCACTTTCACATGTCAAACTGTAACTATGACACAGTTCACCTTCTCAGCCTGGTTCCACACAGAAATGTCCCCCAGATACTTCTCCGGACGAGTGGAGAGGTGCAGCTGGAAGGAGAATCCAAACACATCGTAAACACAGCGGAGGAAGTCCAGACAGCCCTTCATTTCTGATTCGATCTGTAAAGGAAAACAAATGACTCAGAATTTAGGAAATGACTCATAATAAGCAGGTACTTGTTTTTACAGAAACATTTTTCACATGAAAAGATTTGAAAGCAAAAATCATCATCCCACAAAAATGTGAGAAACCGCTGATGTTTTTCACCTGGTCCATCGTGCAGAAAATGTGAGCGTCATCCTGCTGGAAGCGGCGCACTCTGGTCAGCCCGGTTAGGGTTCCTGACAGCTCATTCCTGTGGAGGACCCCGAAATCTGCCAGCCTCAGAGGAAGCTCCCGCCATGAGCGAGGCCTGTGGCCGAACATTAGACTACAGGACATACAGGGAGCAGAAAATCCAATGACTGCGACATGCATACAATACTGTGTGTGAAGTTTGATATACAACAATTGGGATACACAATATTTCCTCTTTGACAGCTCTAAATTTACCAGTGCCCAGGGCAGTTCATTGGCTTCAGAGCAAAGATGTCGTCTTCAACAGGAAAGGAGAACATGTTTTCACTGTAGTGCTGCCAGTGGCCAGATGTCTCCCACAGTTTGCTGTTGTAGATGTTGGGGGAGGCTACTTCCTGAAAGCCTCTTCTCCAGTACTCATCCTACAAAAACAACAAAACCACATAAGCTAAACACAGCAGTTGGACTGCACAGGTGCCGTACAGAGCTGACCTCATCGTGACTTCTGGCATGAAACCTCAAGCTACTGCAAAGAAAATCACATCTTGTGGGTTTTATTTATCCAGTCAGCAACACATTCAACGGCCTGTTGAGCTGGTTAGCAGCCAGCAGGAGAAGGCCGCTGTAACTGGAAGGATTTTTGAATATATTACTGCTAAACCATGCTACTGCAGTCACTATTCAGCACCTAGAAATGTGATGCATAGCAAGTTCTGTCTTGAATGTTCATGCATTATGTTATAGCAGGAAATGCATAGTATGCTTTTTTCTTTTTCCCCCACAGCAATAACAGGCTTAAGTGAAGTGATAATGATCTTGCACTCGTTCTGTGCAATGTGGTAGTCTTGGCTTGGTCTGGTTTGTGGGTGTGTGCCGTGAAAGTCTTCAAGATGTCAGCATGTATTTGCAAATGTACCACAGAGACAAGTTCCTGTAGAGTCACTGGACTTGGCTAAGGAGTTCAAGTTACTCTGAAATGAAAAGTTTCAACTTAAACTTCAATATTCTGGTTGTTCTAGCAATCATTCAACCCAATTGCCAAATGTGCCAAGAGAAAATTTAAGTGATTTCTGTGATTTGAAGGGGGCTAATACTTATTCAGTTACTTATTTTGCATTTTTGATTTTTAGCTTATTGTCAATACTTTGTAGAAACCTGTTCACACTTTGACATGAATCATTTTTGTAAATTCTTGTCAAAAAAAAAGCCAAATTACATTGACGATGATTGAACGTCTCAATCAGCCTTGCACATCTGAACACTGCAATTTTGGTCCCATTCTTCTTTGCAAAACTGCTCAAGCTCTGTCCAATTAGATGGTTGTTGGCTTTAAACCATTTCTGTGTAGCTTTGATTGTATGTTTCGGGTTATTGTCTTGCTGGAAACGAAATCTTGTCCCAAGTCGCAGTCCTTTACTGTATTCAATGTACCTCTACCCTTACAAGTCTTCCAGGGCCTCCTGTATAGAAGCATCCCCACATTATGATGCTGCCACCACCGTGCTTCAAGGTGGGAACGGTATGTTTGTGATCATGTGTAGTGTTTAGTATCCGCTAAACATAGCATCTAGTCTGACGGCCAAGAAGCTAAATTTTGGTCAGACCAAAGAACCTTCGTCCAGCTGACTTCAGAGCCTCCTGACATGCCTTCTGATGAACTCTAATGGAGATTTTATTCAACATTAGCTTCCTCTTTGCCACGCTCCCATAAAGCTTTGGTTGGTGACGAACAGGCGACAGCTTTTGTCTGCACAGTCTCTCCCATCTCAACTGCTGAAGCTTGTAACTCCTTCAGAGGTGTCATAGGTGTCTTGGTGTCCTAGTTAGAACCAGGAGTACTGATCCACCAGTGACTGGACCTTCCAGAAACAGGTGTCCTTATATTACAATCACTTGAGACACATTCACCGCACTCAGAGGCCTTCATTTCACTAAATAAGTAAATACTTATTTTATACTTTTAATTAATAAACATTACTTTGTAGAAATCTGCTTTCACTGTCAAAATGAAAGAGTCTTTTTTTTGTCTTCCAAATTCCTGTCAAAAAAAAGACTGTCAGGACTGAGCCAAGCCCTTCCTCAATCTCTGGGGAGAACTTAAACTGATGGAGCTGAGCAAAACTATTCAGTTCACTGTTCACTCACAGCTTATCTTTGAGCTTCTTGGTGATTGCAAAAGTCAGTGGTTAGTGGTCTGCATATCAATGAGCTGGCAATCACTGCCAGTACACTAGAAATGTTAAGCACAGCCTGAGCCTCATGGGCTGAGACTGAAAATGATTGTACGTGTTTGTTGTGTTGGAGAAACCCTCGTTTTCTTTAAAACTTTAAATGTTAAACGGAAGCCGGTGAATTGCTTTATGGATTTTGTTCTAAAATAAATTGCAATTCACTGACATTGACAGAAAAAGCTTAATGGAGATCCCAAAAGAAATATTTTATAATAGTAGCAAAACAGTATAATTTGCATTATATCAAACGGTTTCAAAATCACAGACCAAAGCTTAATTAGGTAACAATTCTAAAAAACACTGTCACAATATAATGAACAAATGGGGTATAATTAAGCATACTGTGGAGGGGAGACATTTAATTACACACAGTAGCCAAAAATACACAATGATGATTGGCTGACCTTAAAACCCATCCTTCACATCTCTAGAGCTGTACTGTTAGCAATTGTAATTATATGATATTGATGCAAAATTAATATTATTATACTGATAGGTTAGGATAAAGGTGAGGATTTAACTTTAAGAAGAAAAAAAAAAAACAGGAGAGGATCATTATCTGAAGGCCTCACTTATGACCAACTCAAATTTCCGTCTTAAACAGATTTAAAACATTGTGAGATAGACTGTAAATAAAAAGAAGTCAGTGAAAGGCATTCTGCCATCACTCCTACCCTGATGAACTCTGTGAGGGTGTTGTAGATGTGGGCTCCACGCGGCATAAAGAAACAACTGCCTGGGCTGAGATCATGGAAGAAGAACAGCTCCTGATCCTGTGAAACACACAAAGACCACTTTTTAATGACTTCACATAGTCCTTGACATATCCTTGTTATCTGCAGGTACAGCCAGCAAGAACTTCTTCACACACCACAGGAGTTATCCAATCATCACACACCAGATAATCCATCAGCGACTGACTGCATGACCCAAAAAAGAAAAAAAGACAACAAAAAAAGGCAGAGAGGTTTGGTGTACCATCACAGCTGGAGAGCAGGACCAACTTTTCTAAAAGGACTGAGGACAGATCTCGTTAATTAAGGTAACCACTATTAAACCCAGTATAATATTCTAACAAAAGACAACTTAATACATTGATTTGAATAATGAGCCATTACATTCGCATCAGAGTAATTAAACATAACTAGAGATGTATTTTACTCAGCATTTTTTATTGTTAGTCTTGCGTTAATGTAGCGTTTATGTAGTTTTAGACTTTACTGGGATCAGACCTAATTATTCCTTTTATGGATTTTTAATTTTTTTGTCTTGCGTTTTTTCACAACTATTTGTGTATTATAATTTTATTCTCATAATTTTATTGATGGAAAACACTTTGAGTTGCACCTGTTGTATGAACTGTGCTACACATGTTAAGTTATTCGTATTATTATGAATCTAAATTGAAAGTTCCCATAAAACTAAGTGATGGTTTCAAGATTTGACACCTGGATATCTTTTTTGCACACACACACATTTCATCTTTTTGATTCAGAACGACTGCGTCACAGAACTGGTCTGCAACGAGAGGTTTTCAAATTGCATTCAATGAATGAAAAAGGACCGACTTGGGAAAACGCCACAGAGCGCCATCTTTAACACAACATGCCACAGTCGTCACCTCACTTTGACAACATTATCTTGACTCTGAAGTTTATTATGAAACTGGGTGGCGGTGAGTGCTGACTGAGGTGCTGCCGTCTGCATCTCCCAGGCTGGGAAACCAGCTGGGGTGCTCAGATGACTCACAGATGTCCTGAATGTGCCAATAAGAAGCAACACAGCACCCTCAGCTGGTAGATCGTGGCAACTATGGTGCAGAACAGCTTTAACGTCAAGCTGGGTTGTGATTACTGGTTGCCGTTGCAAAATGATCAGAGACTTATTTATTTGTTTAGTAATTAAGTTCTAAACATTACTAAGCATCTCCTATTCAGCCTCTGGAATAAAAATTATTTTGTTTCTATGGTTTTGTCTGTTGTATCTATGTTTGCAGTTAATACTCGTCCTGGTCTTGGTCCGGGCTCATTTCAACCACAAGTACAAAATCACTGACAGACTCTCAGGAGGAAAAGCCTCTACAGAAACCTCAAAGGAGATGTGTCAACCATCACATTATCCAATTACAAATTAAACTTGTCTTTGAACTGGGTTTCAGTCTCCAGTTTTAGGCCTCAACCAGCTGGGCGGGCTGAAACATGACAGCCTACACTGACTCACTTTGCCAATCTTGCGATGGTCTCTGTTCTTGGCCTCCTCCTGAAAACGTTCCCACTCCTTCAGCATCTTTGAGTCTGGAAACGAAATCCCATAGATCCTCTGTAGAGTCTCCATGTCGGAGCGGCCCTCCCAGTAAGTGGAAGAGTTCTGATGACAGAGCAGAAAAACAGCTTTCATACAAGCTGGCACAAGACTCCCTGTATAGACGATATTAGTATTATGGATACATTTAAGAAGTGGTGGTTTGGGACAGTGATGAAACAGAAATCTTATTGGACAGTGTGCATTTTCCATGTATGTACCTTGTAAATCTTCATGGCTTTGATCTTGCCTGTGTGTCTGACATGGGGACCTCGGCACAAGTCAATCAAAGGGCCACATCTATCAAAGATTCACGAGTTACAACAGTTCGCAATACAATGTAAAAGGTCACTTAAAAGAATACACAATAACACATTTACATACATGTAACCAACTTACCTGTAGACTGTAGTGGTGGGGGTGGTGACTTTCTCATTCAGAATGCGGCATTTGAATTTGTTGTACTGGAAGGTACAGACACTTTGGGTTAGTAGGTTTTAATGTCTTGATGAAAGATTTCACCTTAAATGAATTCATATAAACAGTGGAGATAAGATTAGGCCAGTGTCAATATAACAGACAATATCAGCAGGTTGGAGAATACTTTTCTCATCACTGAAAAAGTTTGAAAAACTGTAGCAGGCTTATAGGACATACTTCAAATGGGAATATATCAAGAATTGGACACCAACAATGCCACAATCTGTTCATAATATGTGCAGAGGGTCCAAGGCTGACAGTGAATATCTGTGCATTCTTTCTCTCACCTTGAACATCTTCAGCAGCGTCTGCTTGCTGATTTCAAGCCTCTCAAAGGGCTGTTTTTCCTTCACCACAGTCTTACACAAAGCCTCCAGGTCCCCAAACTCAGTGCTGGATACTCCCCTGGGAAGAGTAAACATATTCAGGCCATTAAAGCAACTCAAGGTCGGTGCTGTCGTGATATCTCTGTAGATGTCTGGAACTTTTGCTGTAAGCCATTTTTAGCCAAACAAAGCAGAACAATTAACAACAAACTAATTAAAAATCGCTTCTTACTTCTGTCCATCCAGAAACATGTCATAGTAGAAGCCGTTCTCTATCGGGGGCCCATAACACAAACAACCTCCATAAAAGCGCTCCATTGCTTCCCCCAGGATGTGAGCACTGGAGTGCCAGTACACCTAGAAACAAGATAAACATGTATATAATTAATTCTTTAAAGAAAGTAGTCCAGTCTAGGTTAAGGAAGTATGTTGTTTGAATGCAGTAGCTAAGACCAATTTTATACCTAAGGTAGGACTGCACCACACTGAAGAAATTAGAAATAAAATGCAATTTTGGTGGATTTGCGACATCAGAAATAGATTAGCAGATCACAAGTGTTGCAATACATTTCTTTGGTTTCTTCTTTCCTCAAACTCTGCACACTTTCAAGAGCAATGTGTTAAAATATTAACAGAAGTTCTATGTACTCACAGCCTGAGCGTCCTCATCGTCAAAACGTAAGATCTGAAGAGAGCAGTCCCGCTCCAGAGGTCTGTCCAGGTCCCAGAGTTCCCCGTTCACACGAGAAATCACAGCATTGTCAGCCAGACCCTGGCTGAAGGAGCAAGCACAGAACAGCGACCTCAGAAATGCTGTGTCCAACTATGTATGAGAGATTACTAAAAATTTACATAAAAACCAGGATTAACAACAGTATTGAGAAAAGTTACACAAAAACAGACAATTTGGTGTCTAACAAGTAAATAATTAATAATACTGCTCACATGGGCTGCCAATAATTGACAATGCAAATTTCAGGCTGACCATGTGTTTATATTAAGCCACTTGTGTAAGTCCTGACCTGATATCACAAGCCAGCTGATACGGTGTGGTGACCCAAGCCTTGCCCGCCACCTTTTGCCCATCTGGCAGCTCCACAGTGATGGGTTTGTTATCTGCAGCCTTCTTTGCCAGCAGGGCATCGCTCTCTCTCTTCAGCTGCTCGTAGAGGCTGAGGCGCTCTCCAACGTATCCAGGCATGGCCTTCAGCTACAGCAGAAATAATAATAAAAGCAAAACACTGCAATCAATGTCAAGGAGTTAAACAACAACATCATTTCTTGTTTCAAGTTTGGTGAAAGAAATTGGGTCATTCCCTATAAAAAAATTTTAAAAAATCAACCAAATCTGAAAAAAGTTCCCATCTGACCGCCTCAGAATCAGATGATTTTTTTCTTTTCAATAACTTTAGTATATTTACTGAAATCATGCAAAATTTAATTTATACTATTAATATTTTTGATAGTATGTCAATGTACATAGGGGTAAGTTGAAATGTCTTTCCATTCATGTTACTTTTTCCATCATTTTTGAGCCCTTATAACATACGGAAGCCAACCAGATCAAATTTTCAGGGCTGAAAATCACATTTTGAGCTGTTAAAAGCCGCTATTAAATCAATTTTATATCCACTCCAGGTGTCAAGATACAAGCCAAAATCTTGCTTTAGTCCGGCACCCTTTCTTTTCCCTATAAGTAACTTTTAGCATCAACATCACAAGAGATATCATAATTATATTAGCAGTGTAATGTTTATGACAAAATCTTGAAACAACCCTGGATGTGTTGTCTGTTTTCTCATTATTTACTGGAGAAAGCCTTAAAAAGTGCATTTTGGGTGAGCTTTCAAGGTTTTTATCACTGTGTGGGATAGATGGTTGGTCAAAACAAATTCTAGCGGACGAAAGGTTTCATTTTTACGTATTTTTCAATAGCAGGCTCATCTTCTAAGCAGATTTCGTCTCATCTCGACAAAGTTCAATTGTGTCATTCCTGTAAATTTCATGTGGCAATCTCCCTTACTTACATAGTAATGAGGGTTCAGCAATGGTGGAACAAGTAGAGTGAGTTAAAAGCCGGGCATTTCAACCCATCTCTACGAAAATGTTCATTGAATGATGGTAACATTTTGAATGGCTTCATTAAATATTCTTAAACTATAGTACAAACAACTCAGCTGATTCTGAGGGTGTCAAGTCACAGGAACTGAACAGCTTAAGATGAACAGGATCACTTTGATGTCCACCTCTTTCACTCCTCCAGCTGCTTGGCCTTTATCCTGCTTCTTCTCCTTCTTGTTCTTGTCAGCTGCTTTTGTACTGGGGGTGTCCGCCTGTGAAACAGACAGGAGTGGGTTTCTTTAGAGTTACAATGGGCTCTTATCACATTACGACCGTGGTCAATGTTCAGACAGCTGACAGTGAGTGAAGCTGCTATTTCTGGAGATGTCATGTAGCTTCACTGGACGCAGGCCCGCTACTCACAACAGTAAAGCGCTAATGCTCACTCTCAGCTCATATTACAAACAGAACTCATTAAACTGGGTAACATTCACTGTTCCCGTCTTCATGTTTACCCTATTATCATTTCCGTTGTTTATCTGCTGCGGTTTGCTGTTGTTTCTCTCCGGAGCTTTGCCACACTTGGCTCCCTGCTGCCTCCCGCCCTGCTCCAGCTGCAGCTCCGCCTGCAGACCCCGCCGGAGGTGCAGCAGCCGGTACCGGAGCTTCTCGTTCTCCGTCCGCAGGCTCTCCAGCTCCGGGGACACCACCGTAACATCGGTGGCGTCCAGACCTCGGGTTATTCCATCCCGAAGACTGGATATTTCCCTGGTGAGGAGCCGGATCTGCTCCTCCTGAGCGGCCAAACGTGCAGCCAAGCACTCCGCCATCTTTAAATGGCAGCTGACCAATGACAGCGACCCTCTGCTGAGCTCTACAAAATAAAAGCCTCTACACACAATGACAACAAACAGATAAGATAAGATTATTTATTATTATTTATCTCACAGTGTTGTCAGCAGGAGTACACACAGACATACACACACACTAGAAAGAAAAATTTACATATAAGAAATAGTGCAAAAGTAAGTATAAAAATACACACATAAAAACGAATAGTGTAAGCACAGAACAGAAAATTGAGGTCATAAAAGATATAAAAATAAAGACAAAAGATAATAAACAGTGCAAATGCAAATATATACATAAATACAGACGTAAACACACAGATACAAACTGATTTTTATACACAAGTCATCAGCATTTTCTATATCAAATGCATGTCCTTATACTAATAATACTAATAACTAAAAGAAATAATCAATTAGTATATATAGATATTTTGCTTATTTTGCTCCACTGGTCATATTCGTTATCTCTATGTTTACATTGATCAATTCTTATGGTTATTTATCTATCACACTTATATTGCGCACTTCTTATTCTATCTATATATTTAGCATATAACCCTATTTAGCATTTACTTCATATCTATTCTATTACATACTTTGGCGAGCTGAGTGGAAGAATGACGCTGCAGCAAGAGGTATTACTTTTGATGCACATCTCTCCAAGCAGGTGCTTTTATTCTGAAACAGGAACACACACCCACAGTGGTCGGAAAACATCAAAAATGCTACACTTCTCACTCACCTTAATGTCAACATAACACTAAACTGTCCCAACCAACTAAACCATAACACCCACAAAAGCACAATAAATCACAAACACCAATAACAATGTTACACCAGGCCGAACTCCCATGGTGCATTGAAGCCCAACAGTTCAGTCCTAGTGACGTGCCCATACTGCATGTACTTAAGTGTTACTTATACATGTTGGACACTCACTTGCTTTGTATATTTACATGTACTGTTCATACTCTAACACTGCTTGTTCTGTATATCTAAAGACATCCATCATGCCCAGGGGTCGGCAACCCGCAGCTCCGGAGCCACATGTGGTTCTTTCGTACCTCTGTTGCGGAAGTCCAGAGCTACAAGGAGGCAAACTCCAAGCTGAAGGAGACTCTGGAGAGCAGGGAGAACCCATAGACCTCCAACAAGGCTCTGGAGAAACAAAATAAGCAGCTGACCAGGAAGACAGAAAGAATGGCGGATGAGATTAAGCTTCTCCAAGAACAGAACGACGAGCATGAAGACGCAATGGCAGAGGTGGAGGAGGCCCTTCTCAAACTTAAGAATGAGAAGAAGGCCTTTGAGGTGGAAAATCTGAAGCTTGGAGAGGAGAAAAAAGAATTGGAGATGAAGATCACAGCCCTCCAAGAGCCCAGCAAACAACTGGAGTCCATAATCAAAGACCTCCAGCAGAAAATTGAAGAATTGGAGGGAAGAACTGAAACCCTCCATGATGAAAATAAAGAACTGAAGGCCAAAAATAATGACCTGCAGGAGGACAACAAAGTTCTGCAGGGGACAAATGAAGACCTCAACAAGGTCAAAGAACTTGTACTCACATTGTATGATTAAATATAGACCTAACCTGATTAAATAGATGATTAGATAGATCTAACAAGTCATTCCACTCAGATATTTTACACTGCAGTGTATTTTTACTACTTTTTTCTGCATAGACGCTAAACTACATTTCATTGTCTTGTCTTCTGTGCAATAAAAGCTGTATCCAAACTAGTCAAATTCTACTTCATGATATTCTAAACCACACCACCATAAATAATTGATCAAATTCCTGTGGGCATGTGAAGAAATGACCCATATTTGACAAAATAATACCAAAGACTGACCTCAAATGTTATGTATTATCCTAAGGATAACTATGAGGTAATAACGTTTGAGATCCACATTAGGGGCCTTTCTGGATAATACATAAGCAACCTCAGCCACAATGAACATTCAGTGGTAAACAAACACATCATGAAGGAGGTATTTCAGGAAGTCAAAGCGACAACCATTTAATGAGGAGAAATACAGCAGTGCACCCATTCACAAAATTTAAAATATGAAAGCTTACAAAAAAAAGAAACAATTTTAAAGCAACAATGTTAAAAAAGAACTGTTAAAAAGAATATGCACTTATGATAACTGCCCAATGTGTACAGATTATACCATTAGAGCAAGTTTATGTTGTTTTCAGAGGTTCCAGTGTTCGTTAACTGAGCATATGTGCCATGTACCACACTTTTATTTAATTTTATTTCATATCTATGTACATTTAATCTTCAATTTTCTCCCAATATACAGTTCCATCTTGTATTCCAGTAAGCTCCTCTGTCTGGACTGAGGGTACGGCGCCCTCATTTGGTCAGAGCAACAAAGTACAGTGTGTATCTACATCATCTGCATCACAGGTTATAAATATAGTTATCAAAATAACAGCACGTCTTCTGGGGGGGATAATTTGGCAGCTTGAACTCAATCACTGAGAATCATATTTAGTGTTTTTGAATTTGAGACATCCTCGTGTAAATAAGTTGAACCAAGCTGATTGTATGAACATATTTTTAAAAGGGTGCTGAGGTGAGATGAAGTTGGGGTTCATAGAAAAGACAATTTATTTTTAAATCAATGGTGCAAATGCCAGATATCGATTTTTTATTTTTATTTTTTCGCAACACTAGAGTTTAATGCAGTAAACACAGGTCTCCCTGTTACTATCCATATACAATACAGAGGTCCCGGTCATCATCTAGCTATCCTCGGATTCATTACATTTCTGTGTCAATGTGTCTTCTGCGTGGAGTTTGTATTTTCTCCTTGTGCCTGCATGGTTTTTATCTGGAGGTTGTTTTTACATCAGTATTCCAGATTTAAGCAGCTCCCACATGTCAGAGCTGTCTGAGGATCCATTAGAGATCAAGACAGATTGAGATATCTGTCAAACACACACTTTCCTGTCAACACAATTGTATGAGAAATCTATCAAAGGTAACGGTGTGTTGAAATCAAATATGTATACACATACACTGTATATCTATAACAGTGTGCATTTATGAGGCTCATACAGTGTTTGATGTACTACAAATCCAAGTGTGTCAATGAAATGAAAAGAGACATAATGCTCAAATCAAGTCAAATTCCCTATCAACTATTTCAACGGCCACAAGACAACCAAAACAAAATTTGGGAATGTATAGATCTTTGCTGAATTGTGACTTAATCATATAATATACATATGTACTTACATATTGTAAATCCTATTTTGTGTCCAACATTACTCAACACCTAACAGTTATCACAGTCTCAGCACATATTCATACTTTACAGGAAAAAAGGTACAGTTTTCACAACCTCAGTAATATTTCTTAATGACTAAGTAACTGAGCTTGTTAAGTAAAATTAGTGGAGTACGCCTCTCAAGTGGTGTGTAAATCATCTTGACATCACAAAATGCACTTCTTGTTCATTTATTCCCAAAATAAAAGATGAGGTCTGTTCAGTCCTACTAATGTATTTAATCAACTCTTAAAAACTATATCAGCAAGTTACATGTTTTAAAATAACCTGTAGAAGAGCCATGGATTGCGTCCCGGTTAGGACACCCAGGATCTTTCTACGTGGAGTTTACATGTTCTCCCTGTGCAGCGTGGGTTCTCTCCGGGTTCTCCGGCTTCCTCCCACACAGTCCAAAAACATGTTGAGGTTAATTGGTGAATGTAAATTGTCCGTAGGTGTGAATGTGAGTGTGCTTGGCTGTCTGTCTCTAAGTGTAGCCCTGTGATAGACTGGTGACCTGTTCAGGGTGTCCCCTGCCTTCGCCCTAAGTCAGCTGAGATAGGCTCCAGCCCCCTGTGACCCTGGTGAGGATTAAGTGGTTTATAGATAATGGATGGATGGATAATAATCTGCCATTTGATTTTTAAAAATTGTGAAGTCAAAATTAAACAAACTCCATATCTGGCAATGAACAATGGTAATGGATGTTCCCAATATAATTTAAAAAACAGTGATTGATATTTGGCAGGTGTTGCGAACTGATGCATAATCGATGGTGGAGCAGCACCATCATGTATGTATACATGTATGTCGTATAGATCACAAACAAACAAACAAAAGCAAAACAAACAACAGCAAAACTCATATTACCTTCCACACAGTCTGCTATTAGCATCAATGCCCCATCACACTTATCCAGATTGTTTTCTCCTGACTAGAGCCTTGCTTGTGTTGTATCTGCTCTCAGATGTACGTCGCTTAGGATAAAAGCGTCTGCTAAATGAAATTGTTGAAAATTGTTGTAGATTGTAAGTATAGTTCTGAGGTACTTACATTTCACTGAGTATTTCTATTCTATGGTCTCTTATACAATGAAGGATTTACCAAATTTAAACTATAGCAAATTTGTAAAAAGACAACACGTCAGCGGTTCAGTCAGTGGTTTTCAACCTAATCAACCTCATTAAATATACGAAAGTTCCTGTAGATAAAGAATCAGCTGATTTTGAGGAGGTCAAGGGGGAGCTCAGTGATTTTCCTGGAATGATCCTCTTGGTTTCTGAATCTTCTACTTGATAATATCATCGTGCTGCTTTTGAATCACGTGTTTTCCTCCACAAATCTGAGAAATGAATTCATGGACATCTGGTCGTCGGTGTGTAGTCGGTGGTTTACAGCTTCATCGAATCGTGATTTTTCCCTCTGAACTTCCCAAGTTAGACTTTCACTTTAATAAATGTTTATATGAGCCAATATCTCACCAAAAACAACAACAACAACAACAACAAAAAACATAAAAATGTCCAATGAGTGAAAACAGATTGGTGGATGATAACTTTGTTTTTTCTTCTTTCCTTTCCTATTTATAATGTGACAATCTCTCAGAGTGAACTGTTGTAGCTGTTTATAAAGTAGTTTAAACCAGTTTCATCTGCAGCAGCTGCAATTCTTACAGTAAAGGATCTTAAGTGAAGTAA